CCCACATCCACAACCACACCCACACAGCCACAACCACACCCACGCCCTCCCACACCCACACCCACGCCGACACTCACGCATCCACACTCACACCCGCACCAGTACTCACACACCCACATCCACAACTACACCCACATCCACGCACCCACACCCCACACCCACCCACACCTACATCGTTGCATACAAATATGTGGATGTATGGGTGTGGGAAGGTTTGGGTGGGAATATTCTCTTCGTCTTTATTCACACACTCACTTTTCACACTGTGTTTTTGTGTACATAGAACAATTGAAAAAAGTTCATTATTGGACTTTCCAACATACAGAGTAAAAGGTAAACAGCTATTGAGAGGTAAGATGAAAAAAAAACAAAATTTGGCTTTAAATTCTTCTACATCATACAAATGTCCTTGATCAGAAGCAGAAGTTTCTTTTCATTCTATATAATCCATTGCAACCAGGCACGCTCGTAATAAGAACATGCAAAATCAACATCTACTGCAGAATCGGCTGTGGATGTGAGTGTGGGTGGGTGTGTGGGTGAGAGACAAGTGGGGCTGGGGTGTGGACGGAAAGAAAAGTGATACCCACATCCACACGTACATCCACACCCACACCCACACTCACGCCCATACCCACACCCACTCACCCACACCCACACCCATACCCACACCCACCCCATACACCCACACCCACCCACACCCGTCAAGCGGGCCAGATTCGACGCCCAATGGGTTGGGTTTGCCGGTCGGATCAAAAAAAAACACTCACCAACATCTCTGGTATGTGTTGTTTCTTCCTTCCTACTTCTTCGAAGAATTCAAACATCAACACGTAAATGGAGTCGGTTTTTTCCAATTTTCATTATGCGATAAGAGAGGTTGAGTGACTGACATTTTTTTAAGATAAAAAAGCGAGCTAAACGATAAAAACCTGATAAGCAACTATCAGGTAATGATGGTATTTAAAGATGAAATACAACGAATAGGCTTTAAATGTAGAAACAAAATTGAAACTTGACCTATGTGTGTTTTATTGTCTTCAATCTGTTCAAAACAAAAGCACAGAAGCATAGTGAGTTGCAAGAAAAGTAACATGATGAAGATTTTTTTCTAGTAAGTATGCTCTTCGCCGAAAAGCACTTCGTCGAAAGCATGTTCTGGTCACGCAGGACGCTCCAAAGTTGTGGGTGCGGGCAAAATGAGTTGGCCTCTTCATGCTTAACAAGCCAGTATAAAAATTAAGGGGGTTCGAACAGTCTGAATTGGCAAACGAGTCCTTTGATGAAACGATTTTCGGCGAATTGTATTACATCCTCTTACACAATTGCTGTAGAGTTGAATTTATAACACAGTTCTTAACCAAACTGCAGTAAATCTCAATAAGAAATCATTTCATTTGAATTTGTTGTAGATGTAAGTAAATTTATTTGAAGAAAGCTTTAAACTAGACATACTTAATCTATGCTGATGATCAAATGGTTGATTCTCATGCATTATGTCCAATATGAGTGATTCTTTACCACCATCTTCGACCGTGCTGAAAGAACTGGGGAATGATTCTTCAGCAACAACCCGTCCAATTTTATCTAACGAAATGCGAACACCAATAACAGTCAAAATTGAAATTAATAGTTCGTCGAAAAACAACAGTAGTGCGATCAGGCAAGTTCTAACGACATGTCTCGAACTCACAAAAAAGCGAGGCATTCATTCTGTTAATGCTATGAAAGCTGCTGGATTTCGATATACAGGTATAGGAGATGCAGCTTATTGTGACAAGTGTCAATTAGAAGTATCTAATTGGAAAGAAAACATGTATCCTTTTACAATTCACTCTCAGCGTAGTCCACATTGCTCATTCATTTGTTCAATGAAGTCATCTATTGTAGCCAATGTCTCTCTTTCAACTTCTATATCTTACATGACTCCATGCGGAGCTACGACAGAGTCAAGTGAAGAAGAACAACCTTCGAAACGTCAAAAAACTGATGTTAGGAATGATACTGGTTATTCGTACCCATTTGTAGAAGTGAAAACACTCAAAGAAATCCGTGCTCGAACATTTTCTCATT